GCAGACAGGAGGTATCTGCCTTGGAATCACGAGGGTTTCACCAAGGAGAGGTGGAAGACAGACTAGCTGTGTGCTAGTGGCCAGCTGTGTGCGAGAGCCATAATTTGGGAAGAGTCTGCAGGAGACAGACATCAAACTGAGTACAAGCCAGGAGGCTGAATCTTTGTTGTTTTTTCTTGATGGTGGATACCCCTGCGTGGGAAGCTTTATGTTACGGGACGTTCTTTTAAATAAAATTGGGCAAAAAGGCCCTTTAAAAGAAGCGAGTTGCTGTGTGCTTTTGAAAAGAAAAGCTCTACCACTAGAAGCGAGTTCCCAAAAAAAAAAAAAAAAATATATATATATATATATATATATATATATAATTTTTTTATTTTTTTTTTTCTATAAAACATTTAAAAAACTATTGCTTCATAAATTTAGGCCAAAATATATTCTGCTACATGTCTTTGGTAAAAAAAAAAAAAAATCCCAATAAGTTTATATTAATTGGTTTGTGTGAAAATTACAGTGTCTACAAACTTGGATTCAGGTGTTCCAGTCACCTCCATGGCCACAGGTGTATAAACTCAAGCACCTAGGCATGCAGACTGCTTCTACAAACATTTGTGAAAGAATAGGTCACTCAGGAGGTAAGTGAATTCAACTTGGTACTGTGATAGGTTGCCACCTGTGGGATAAATCATCTGTGAAATTTCTTTGCTACTAAACATTCCACGGTCAACTGTTAGTGGTATTATAACAAAGTGGAAGCAACCGGAACAACAGCAACTCAGCCACCAAGTGGTAGGCCACATAAAATGACAGAGCAGTGTCAGAGCATGCTGAAGCGCACAGTGTGCTGAAGTTGCCAGTTGTGTGCAAAGTCAATAGCTAAACACCTCCAAAAACTTCATTTGGCCTTCAGATTAGCACAACAGTGCACGAAGATCTATGGAATGGGTTTCCATGGCCGAGCAGCTGCATCCAAGCCTTACATCACCAAGTGCAATGCAAACCGTTGGATTCAGTGGTGTAAAGCACGCCGCCACTGGACTCTAGAGCAGTGGAGACTAGTTCTCTGGAATGATGAATCATGCAATCTGACGTGTCTGGGTTTGGAGGTTGCCAGGAGAATGGTACTTGCTTGATGCATTGTGTCAAGTGTAAAGTTTTGGTGGAGGGGGGATTATGGTGTGGGGTTGTTTTTCAGGGGTTGGGGCTTAGCCACTTCCAGTTCCAGTGAAGGGAACTCTTAAGGCATCAGCATACCAAGACATTTTGGACAATTTATACTCCCAACTTTGTGGGAACAGTTTGGGGATGGCTCCTTCCTGTTCCAACATAACTGCTCACCAGTGCACACAGCAAGGCCCATAAAGACATGGATGAGCGAGTTTGGGGTGGAGGAACTTGAATGGTCTGCACAGAGTCCTGACCTCAACTCAATAGAACACGTTTGGGATGAACTGAAGTGGAGACTGCGAGCCAGGCCTTCTGGTACGACATCAGTGCCTGATTTCACAAATGTGCTTCTGGAAGAATGGTCAAACATTCCCATTAACACACTCCTAAACCTTGTGGACAGCTTTCCCAGAAGAGTTGAAGCTTTTATATCTGCAAAGGGTGGGCCAACTCAATATTGAACCCTATGGACTAATGTGTGTGCAAAGGCAGCCATCCCAATACTTTTGGCTATATAGTGTATACTGGATCCTTGTTTTGCAGGGAGATAAAAACCAGCACATCCCCACTTACAGGAGAGAGATCTGTGTTTATATTCACAGATCTCTCTCTTGTCAGTTGCTCCGCCAATCGTCGTGCCCAGCCATGAACCTCTGGCCAGAACTCGGTAATTAATATCTACAGGAGCCAATGACAGTGTGAGTGGTCACTCTTGTGTCTTTTGCAGCCTGATCCCATACCTCCCATAACCTCTCTCTGTCCTGGCTTGCTCCATGTTTCTGGGACATGTGACAGGTCTCAGAAGACTGCTGGACTATTTACAATGTGCAGCGCTACTCGTGCATGCACAGTGGGCATCTGGCTGTGTACACCGCTGGAAAGAACGGCTGGGGTGAGGAATCACTGGATCATGGGACAGGCAAGTGGCTGTTTAATTGTCTGCATGCAGAATTTTTTGTAGCTGCTGACTTTAATTTTTTTTTAAAGGAAGCTGGAGATCTGCTTCACCACCAGGCTACTCAGCTGGATGACTCTAGGAGACCCATACCTGTCATCTGCTCAACTGAGATCACCATGCAGGACCTCTGCCTCAGATACCTGATGCTGCTGAGTTACAGCCTAATGTGATGTCCTTATTTAAACAATTGTTGATGCAAGCTGTTAGAGAATTAGATGCATGGAGACATATTGGGGTTTATTTACTAAAGCTGGAGAGTCCAAAATCAGACTCCCTTCTGCATAGAAACCAATCAGCTTCTAACCTCAGCTTGTTCAATGAAGCTTTGGCAATGAAACCTGGAAGCTGATTGGTTTCTATGCAGAAGTGAGTCTGATTTTGCACTCTCCAGCTTTAGTAAATAAACTCCATTGTGACTTCATCCTCTCTGGAGGCTAACAATGCTAGTGTGTCTGATCCTCTTGTTTCTATGGACTCTGCATCTAATTGTCATTGGTAATGTAATTGAGAATTCTGCTGCTTTGATATGGTCGCCATCTAGTGGCACAATACCAACAGACACTTCTGTTCAACGAAATTCAAGAGATAGCAATGTAGCTAAATCAATGAATGTTCCTGAGACCTGTTTGGAAGAGGCTTTGCCATGTGGCTTATCTCCACTTGGCTTTCATCTTTCACTCAGTATAAAAGAAAAGATTTGGAGGGGTGAATACATTGATGTTTTACCTCTGCTTCCATTTTCAAAAGCGTTTATTCATAAAACTGACAGGTAGGAGGATAAAACTAAGGAAGATAGAAGGCCTGTAACCAGATGTCAATAATTGGTTGCAGGCGTTTTGCATATTTTCATTTTTCATTTTTGCAGAAGTGTAATGTGTGAAAAATTCAAGAAAAAAGTTCTGGTCTCTTTCAACACATATATTTTGTTTTAGAAGTGTACAAGAACTTTGGAGTTGTTGCCTGGTTTTTTTGTATGGCAAGTCGTTCCATCAGAAATTATCAGTACATTCTTCCCTCAGATGGGGGCCTATGGCTTAATCTTTTTCTTCCTCAGAGATTAGCTTTTGCCAGGCAACAGGCTTCCCAGGTTTCCAATACAAACAACAGGTATAGGAAAGGAGTCTGTTTTAATTTCCAGGACAGCCAATGCAAATGGCTGAATAATTGTAAATACCAGCACAAATGTGCCTTTAGTGCAGGTTCACACCTGATCTCAAAATGCTTTAAGAAAATGTTGGCTGCAAATCAACAAGTTAGAGAAGTTATTTCAAAAAGCATTATCTCCAGTGAAGTTGCACGCAATGTGCCCTTGGCTTCAGGTTCACCCTGACAAACAGACAGCCTTTCTGTTATTTGAAGGTTTTCAATCCGTTTTTTTATTACCAGAATTTTCCAGTTCAGGTTGTAAAGTAGTTCGCAATTTAACTGCTTCCCCGCTGCCCAATAGCAGAACTACTGCTACAGGGTAGCAGGGCTGCGCAAAATCATGTATATATACGTGATTTTGCATTTCCGGGTAGGGGGAGCGCATCACCCTACCTGAGCCACCATTGGCGGCTACAGATGTCGATCACCGGGTCCGGCCAGAGATTCTCCACTGGCACCTCGGCATCGCTGTGGAACAGTGACAGTGGAGAGACCTGTGCGTAAACAACACAGGTCTCTCTCCTGCCAGCAGTAACATGCTGCTGTTTACTTCTCTGCACAGCAGAAAAAATACACAGCAACATGTTTCCATACTAAAACACAGCACAGGACATAGTTAACCCTTTGATCGCCCCAGATGTTAACTCCTTCATGCCCAGTGTCCTTAATACAGTGTCAGTGCTTTTTATTATCACTGATCACTGTATTAATGTCATTGGGATGTCAGTGCCAGTCAGTTCCCCTCCAGTGTCAGAATGCCCGCCTCAGTCCCGCAATAAGTTGCTGATCGCCGCCATTACTAGTATAAAAAAAAAAAAAATTACTGTATATATACTGCCATTTGTAGATGCTATAACTTTCACGTAAACCAATTAATTTACACGTATTTGGATTTTTTTTTTCTAGCAAAAACATATACCAGAATACATTTTTGCCTACATTTATGACAAAATTTGATTTTTAAAATTTTTTTACTGGATATGTTTTATAGCAAAAAGTAAAAAAATTTTTTTTTTTCAAAATTGTCGGTCTTTTTTGTGTTTATAGCGCAATAAATAAAAAACGAAAAGACGATCAAATAGTGGAAGGTCCTTTTAGTGCCCATCCTTTCCAGAATTTTAGAATTTCCCCTTTGGGCATAGTTCCCAAAAAAGAGCCTAATTCCTATTGGCTTATCCACCATCTATCCTATCCCAGTGGCGGTTCATTGAACGATCAAATTCAGGATAATTTGACATCAGTTTCTTATACACCTTTGGAGGATGCTTTAGTTTTGCTTAAAAAAATTGGCACTTTTAGCCAAAGCAGATATTAACCACTTGCCTACAGGGCACTTATACCCCCTTCCTGCCCAGGCCAATTTCCAGCTTTCAGCACTGTCTCACTTTGAATGACAATTGCGCGGTCATGCAACACTGTACCCATATGAAATGTTTATCATTTTTTTGAGACAGATAGAGCTTTCTTTTGGTGATATTTAATCACCTCTGGGATTATTTTTTCTTAAACAAATCAAAAACCACTGAAAAGTTTGAAAAAAAAAAACATTTTTTCTTAGTTTTTGTTATACAATTTTGTAAATAAGTGATTTTTGATGTGTGCTAATGAGGCTGCAGTGATGGACACTGATAGGCTGCACTGATGGACACTGATAGGTGGCACTGATGAGGAGGCACTGGTAGGTTGCACTGATGGGCATTGACAGGCATCACTGATGGGCACTGAAAGGCAGCACTGATACATGACACTGATATATGGCACTGATAGGTGGCACTGACTGCCACTGTTAGGCGGCACTGACTGGCACTGTTAGGCGGCACTGACTGGCACTGATAGGTGGCACTGACTGGCACTGATAGGCGGCACTGATGCGCACTGATAGGCGACACTGACTGGCACTGATAGGCGGCACTGATTGGCATTGATAGGTGGCACTGACTGGTACTGATGGGTGACATTGAAAGGCAGCTCAGATGGGCACTGATATGTGGCATTGATGTGGCACTGGCACATGGCACTGATAAGCACTGACTGCTGGCACTGATAGACACTGACAGGTGGCACTGCTGGGGCTACACTGATCATCAGTGCCCTGATGATCAGTGTATATGTCCCCTCCGCGGAAAGCCGATTACCGGCTCTCCTCTCCTCTCGACCTGTCAGTGTGACAGCTCGAGAGGAGAGAAATGCCGATAACCGGCATTTCCGTGTTTACATGTGATCAGCTGTGATTGGACACAGCTGATCACATGACTGAGCCAACATCTTCGGCTCTTTCTGTAATCTGCTGTGTCCGAGGGACACAGCGCACCGCCGATCGCCGCGCTGCGAGCTTCCTGAGCCGTGCATGCGCGGTGAGAATGGAAGGACGTCATATGACGTCCTATCAGAACGAGAGAACCACCTTGCACCCGTCATTGTATTATATGGCGGGCGGAAGGTGGTTAAATCTGCATTTAGATTATTGTCCATTAACCCTTTATGTTTTAACTCCTTGGGTTTTTTCTTTGATGGTTATTTTTCTGACAAGTGTTTGCCTATGGGCTGTTCATTATCTTGTTCTTATTTTGAATCGTTTTCATTATTTCTGGAGTGGGCTGTTTCTCATGTTTCAGGTTAAAAATTTTTATTACATTATCTTGATTTTTTTATTCTTAGGTCCTCCTTCATTTCCTGATTGTCTAAATTTATTAAATGTATTCTTTAGATTTGGCGACAATTTTGATGTCCCATTAGCTATGGAATAGGCAGTCTGGCCTTCTGTTTGTCTGGAATACTTAGATGTTACAATCGACACCATGACCATGAAGTTCAGACTACCTAAAGAGAAAATTATTAAAAATAAAAATTCCTTAATTAACTTAATTAGAAAGAAAAGAAGTTACCCTAAAAGAGATGCAGTCATTATTGGGCCTCTTGGCTTTTGCTAAACATATTATACCTATCGTGAGAATTTTCTCCCGGAAGCTATATATAGCTATTTCTGGTCTTAAATCTCCTTCAGCTCATGTTTGGGTGACACCTGATATGAGGGAAGATTTACTGGTATGGTGGCAATTTCTGGAGCACTTTAATGGCAGAGCAGTATGGCAAAAGAACTTTGTATTAGATAAAGACTTTTGTTGATTTACTGACGTTCCATAGGTTTTGCAGCTATTTGGAATAAACATTGGTGTGCAGGGCTGTGGATAAGGGGATACCAGCAGTCCTCCTGTACAGGGCCTAGGACAGCAGGGGGGCCCAGTAGCTGAGTGAATTGCATGTGAGCAGGGAGGGTGATTGGCACAGTGTGCGTGTGTGGCAATTACTGGATCTGATCCCCTACACGGCTCTCTCTGCAGCAGCTGAAAGCTGGCTTCTTCTCTTCTCCCTCCCGCTGACTTTCAGCTGCTGCAGGGAGAGACATACGGGGGATTGTTTCCAGTAATTTCCTCCCCACCACACCCTTCACTCTGCCTTTGCACCATATGATTATCCCCGCTGCTCAGGCCCCCCTCTGTGCCTCCACCCCCATAATGCTGCCATATGCCCTACTTTCCTTGCCACTGGCAGCTGCAAGCACACAATAGGAACCTTCAAGATGGAGAGTGGGGGAAGGGTCTGGTAAATATGTCACATTTCCAAGCCCCTTCCTTTTCTAAGTGAACACAACGAGTGATTAGTACCAATCACTCACTGTGTTCATTCATAACTGAATCATAGTAAACTGTTTTTTTGGGGGGGCCATGTCAGGTTGACTTTAGGGGGCCCTGCTATTTCTAACAGAAGCCCTATTGGTGTGGAGAACCTTGGACCCCTTCTTGGTGGCTTAAGAGATATTTAAGCAACATTATGTTGCTTAAATTATTCCCTATTATAGTTGCCATTGAGTTTTGGGGTGAAAGTTTTAAGAATAGGCTTCTTTTTAGCACAGACAACAAAGAAGTTTATGCCATCAACTGTCTACCTTCTAAGTCTCTGCCAGTCAATGGTTTGTTGAGGTATCTGATTTATAAATGCTTGAGCTTTAATATTTGGGTAAAGGCCAAGCATATATAAGGCGAATCTAATGGCTTGGCAGATTCATTGTCTCACTTCCAGATGGACCGATTTTCTTTATGATGCTGGATGCAGATCCAGTGGGGTTGGCATGCCCATTCCCATCTATGGGAGATTATTTAGAATTGGTGGTGGACAACGTTAAGAAATCTCTGCCACCCTCAACCTGGGCAATATATCAGTAAGCCTGGTTGATATGGATTTTGTTTTTAAATTCCTATGGTCTTGTTCACTCTTCCTATTCTGAAGGATTCATTTTACTATTTTTAAATTCTTTATTAAGAGTTATTCTTGGGCTCATATAAACAAAATCGTTTCAGAGCTTTCCTTCTTTTTAAATTGTGCAATCCTGTTTTAGCTTTTCTATGGTTAGGCAGACCCTGAAAGGATATAAAAAACATAATTTTGTAGCTGATACCTGTAGGCCCATTATCCCTGACATATTTAGGAAGCTTTGTTTAGTGACTGATACTGTTTGCTGGTCTTCCTTTGAAGCCGCATTATTTTTCTGTTGTCTTCTTTGCTGCCCTATGAATATCAGAAATCCTTCTGTCAAATATATACTCTAACACCGGCCTTCATTTTTTCAATTTTGTAATATCCAATTACTGTTTTAGAATATTTATAGGTCATTCCAAAATGGACCAATTAGGTAAGGGTAGTTGGATTTGTTTACACTCCTGCAATAACCCGAATGTTTTCCTGGTTCCTTTAATAAACTCATATACTAAGTGTCACCCTTTATTTACGAAGCAATTTTTTATTCACAAAGGATGATACCCCTGTAACCAAATACCAGTACCCTAGTGTTTTTCAAAAATGTCAAAAAGAATTGAAGTTGGAACATATTAGACTTACATAGCATTCATTTAGGATCGGGGGCAGCCACAGAAGCATCTCGCCTAGGGTTTGAATCAGGCATGATAAAGAAGATAGGTAGATGAAAGTCTAATAGTTTTCAGTTAGATATTCACCCTAATATTAATATGTAATTTATTTTAGGTCCATTGTGGATTGTGGTGCACGCTTTCATCTTTTGGGCCCATAAACAAGCAGAAGGAAGTGTATATTCAGAGAACTTGGGCTTAGATCCGACAAGATTAAAGATATTTTGGTATAGTAGGCATGATATGGTCAGATTTAATGTTTAAATTGAGGTTTGTTTCATTGTTTCCTGCCTCCGAATATTTTAATTATTCACTTAGGGGGAAACAATATAGGACAGGTCAAGACTTTAGATTTGATGTTTGACATCAGAGATTACATCATCCGTTTTCAACTTTCTTCCCCTAAAATGGTGGTGGTTGTGCCTCGATTGAGATGGTTGAAAACAGGTTTCCTCCATCCTCTTGAGAAGATTTGTAAAAACAACTAAATAGAGCAGTTCAAAAAATGTTGATACCCTTGTTGGGTTTTTCACACAGACATACCAAATTGGCAGGTGGCCTTTTGGGTCTATACAGAGACAACAGAGTCCATCTTTCTAATATAGGGTTGGATATTTTCAATGCAGGTTTGCACATGCAGTGCAGCCTTGGTGACAAGTGGCCTTTTCAATCCCACCTGTCTTTTGGAATTTAAAGTAGTGAGTAAATGACATGGCTTGAGTCGTAGTGGCTAAGCTGTTTTTGAGTCTTATCTGTTTAAATTTCTATGGTGTGTTTATTTAATAAACAGCTTTAAAACCAATACTAAATGGCCACGGCCAAATTTTTATCTAACCCTAGTGTGTTTTGGTGTATCTATTGCAGAATATTATTTAATGCTGCCTACTCTCCCATGCCCTAGGATCTGCAACTTTTGGAATGGCATCTTTGCCTTGTTGTGAAAGGTCACAGGAGTGTCTGTCCCACAAACACCCCAAATAGCTCTTCTCAATGAGCCAGTTGATCACGTGCCTAACGGGGTACAATGCCTAATCTTCTTTATATTATTCTCTTGGATTATACTGCATGAAAATTTGGAGAGCATTCTCCATGACAAGGTTAAGAAGTTTGAAGCATCTTGGGAACCTTGGGCTAAATATCTCAACATTTAATTTGAATCATAAGGCAGAGTTGAAGACGTACTGGGATGCGTGTCTCTCTACCCCTTAGTCCAACTCTACTACTTTTCCTCTTGTCTCTTTTTTACTTTGTCCGTGTTCTGTTTTTTAATTTGTTTCTTTTTGTTTCTCTTTACTTCCTTGTTCACCCTGGATACCAGGGCTATAGTCGGTTTCCAGATGGATCCTATTTGTGAGATTTCTTTGTTGCATATGATTCTTACTAGGTTATTCACATTGAAAAAGGTTACCTATATCTTCTACTGTTGACCTAATTTTAGGATACTGTTTGGCTGCAAGAACGATGAAGTTGCGAAGACGCCATCAGTGCTGTACTCCTGTTCTGCATCTTGCTATTATTGTTGTTGTAACCCATTTTGTATGAACAGTCCTTGTGTGTTCTTGTGTGTGAGATTTACACCTAGCATACAGGACTATGCCCAGAACACAGACTACATACTACTGTGCAGTATTCACACATGCTTAATTTTCAATTCATCACAAAATAAATAAAAAAAATTAAAAAATTACCAGGCATACAATGATGTTTCTTAAATCTGAAAATAATATTTCATCGGGGATTAGATCAGTGCCATGTAATTAAGAATTATCAGTGCCATTGGTGTGCTGTACAGTCTATATTAGTGGATCATTCACTTCTACCTAGACAATTTACTATTATTTTGATGTCATTTATAAAATTAAAATTCACCTTTTACACAAATCATACATGTGCTTCGGCCTTCAATGTCCTAGGCCGTTTTACTGTTGTATCTTGTATATTTTGAATGTCAGCAGTTCAATAATCACTTCTCCCTTATATAGAAGGCCAAGCTACAGTGGATAGCACCTCTTTTATCCTTACCAGAGTACTGCAGTTCCATAGGGAAGAAACTAAAGTAGTGATTCTCATGTAGTCTGTTGTGCTAGAGTCTTTCAGAAAGTATGTATGCTATGCAGCTACATTACCCTGCTTGGGCCACAGAGACATTGCTGTGAAGAGTCAATGTTTATTTAGCTTTTATTATCTGTAAACATCAGGTTGCAGTTACCCCCTTTAATTAAGCTTAAGAAGGTAATTAAGATTACCTTCTCTGTTAAAATAGTTAAATCCCTGTTATACTTTGTTTTCTTTATCTGGAATCATTTTGTTGTAAGTTTAAATATATTCCAGGTGTAACAAACAAAACATGTTAAACACACCCCTAGATTTCTTTTTTTTTTTTTTAGAAAGCACCCACAACTTGAGTAGAAAAGCAGAACCATGCCAGCATGGAGAGAGACTCGTTCAATGGATCTGCCCCTAGACAGAGCACAACATACCCTGCAGTGATCTTACCAGCCAATGGCGACGGCAAGTGGAAAGCTGGGAGGAAAGCATAGGGTGCAGGCATTCTCAATGTGTGCACTATGTGAGAACACAGTGGGCCCCATCCCCTCCCCTTTGGGGGAATCCCCACACAATGTGTGCCCCTTGAGCATACACACAGAGTGCTCTCCCTGCCATCTTTCCATGTCTCTTCGCTCAGCGATCACTAACACCTCGAGGAATATTTTCTATACAGGGAACGCCCCTTCTGCGACTTTAATACCCGACGTGACAGACGTGATCTCTGTACGATGACGTCACACGGCCATTCACTCACCGGCTTGTCAGTTTCCCGTAGACCCGCCCACATGCCTTCTCTCTTACGGGGCGTGGGTTCTGTCAGATCGGATAGCCTTGACAGCCAATTGAAGGCCACCAAGTTATCCTGCCCCCTCAACGCGGACCAATCGCAGGCATCTAGAGACGAAGTCTCCATCGTGTTTAAGGTGACCTGCACTGAGCCTGTCCTGTTGCCATTGTGAGTGAAGCGGATCTGCTGCCAGCATGTCTCTGTCCAACAAGCTGACCCTGGACAAGGGGTGGACGTGAAGGGGAAGAGGGTGGTGATGAGGTGAGAGATGGGGGGGCGGATATGTGTGCGGGAGCCTGCTTCTATCAACCGGGGGCTGATCACTGTGATGTCACTGCCTGCTCGTGGGATGGGGGGGGTGATCGATCTAAGTGTGTGGTCGGGGCATGTCCTTCACACATGAGATGACAGGAGGGGTGTGCATAGTATCATGGTATGTAGGGCAGGAGGAGTATTACAGTCATGGTTCTATGGATCTGGTTACAGTGGTGATTGTAGGGGGGGGGGGGTGGTCTGGTTGCAATGGTGATTGTTGGTGGGGGGGGGGGGGGGGGGTCTGGTTGCAATGGTGATTGTGATTGTATGGTGGGGGGGGGGGGGGTGGTCTGGTTGCAATGGTGATTGTATGGTGGGGGGGGGGTGGTCTGGTTGCAATGGTGATTGTATGGTGGGGGGGGGGGGGTGGTCTGGTTGCAATGGTGTATTTGGTGGGGGGGGTATGGTGTATGGGGGGGGGGTCTGGGGATTGTGGTCTGGTCTGGTTGCAATGGTGATTGTATGGTGGGGGGGGGGGGTGGTTGGTTGCAATGGTGATTGTTATGGTGGGGGGGGGGGGGTGGTCTGGTTGCAATGGTGATTGTATGGTGGGGGGGGGGGGTGGGTGGTCTGGTTGCAATGGTGATTGTATGGTGGGGGGGGGGGGTGGTCTGGTTGCAATGGTGATTGTATGGTGGTTGCAATGGTGATTGTATGGAGGGGGGGGGGTGGTCTGGTTGCAATGGTGATTGTATGGTGGGGGGGGGGGGGTGGTCTGGTTGCAATGGTGATTGTATGGTGGGGGGGGGGGGGTGTGGTCTGGTTGCAATGGTGATTGTATGGTGGGGGGGGGGGGGTGGGGTCTGGTTGCAATGGTGATTGTATGGTGGGGGGGGGGGGGGTTGGTCTGGTTGCAATGGTGATTGTATGGTGGGGGGGGGGGGGGGGGTGGGTCTGGTTGCAATGGTGATTGTATGGTAGGGGGGGGGGGGTGGTCTGGTTGCAATGGTGATTGTGTATGGGGGGGGGGGGTGGTCTGGTGGTGCAATGGTGATTGTATGGTGGGGGGGGGGGGGGGGTGGTCTGGTTGCAATGGTGATTGTATGGTGGGGGGGGGTGGTCTGGTTGCAATGGTGATTGTATGGTGGGGGTGGGTCTGGTTGCAATGGTGATTGTATGGTGGGGTGGGGGGGGGGTGGTCTGGTTGCAATGGTGATTGTATGGGTGGGGGGGGGGGGGGTGGTCTGGTTGCAATGGTGATTGTATGGTGGGGGGGGGGGGGGGGTGGTCTGGTTGCAATGGTGATTGTATGGGTGGGGGGGGGGGGGGTGGTCTGGTTGCAATGGTGATTGTATGGGTGGGGGGGGGGGTGGTCTGGTGTGCAATGGTGATTGTATGGGGTGTCTGGTTGCAATGGTGATTGTATGGGGGGGGGGGGGGGTGGTCTGGTTGCAATGGTGATTGTATGGGTGGGGGGGGGGGGTGGTCTGGTTGCAATGGTGATTGTATGGGTGGGGGGGGGGTGGTCTGGTTGCAATGGTGATTGTATGGTGGTAGTGGGGGGGGGGGGTCTGGTTGCAACAATGGTGATTGTATGGGGGGGGGGGGGGTCTGGTTGCAATGTGTGATTGTATGGGGGGGGGTCTGGTTGCAATGGTGATTGTATGTGGGGTCTCTAAATTGGGGTGCCGTCTGGGTTTGTCAGGGGTGCAGAGCAGTGCCCTATATTTTTGCAGTGTCGTGCACTTCCATGGTGCAGAAGTGCTGTCAGCCAGCACCATAGAAATGCATGACACCAGTCCAGGGCAGACAGTGTTCAGGGCCGCCAGTTTGAGTGTGAAGATCGCAAGATGGGAAGATGGGACTCTGATGTAAAGAGGGGGGGCTATGGTGACTATATGTATCCCATGCCGTGCTTGCTACATGAGTCTTGGACCTGCCATCCATCCCCCTCCTATGTGGGTGTGACTGTCATCATTTGCAGTGCTTCACTACCACCATCTCGTTGGCCATCGTCTGATCTGTTAAACCCTTTCTATTCATTGATTACATTTTTACATCCCACCACATTTAAATACTGTACATTCACATGAACTCCTTCACACAGGCATTTACAATCTGTTGCCACTATCTCACATAAAACATGCAAGCTCAGAGAGAACGTGCACACTCCATGCAGATTGTGTCATGGCTGGGATTTGAACCAAGGACCCCAGCAAGACAGAAATGCTAATTACCGACCCTATGTGCTGCTCTTTTAGGAACATTTTCATCATTTTATTGTTGCAGAGAATGATTTACACATTATAATTTTTCTTAGAAAAAGGTACCCAGTAAATGACATTTCCGGCATGCAGATTTCACAACCGTTTACCATTGCCTCATCATATATCATCCCTCCATCAAAACCTCAGCCACATTGTATCATTAAATATGTATCTGCAAAGTTGGAATGGATACAGAAGCATACAAACCATTGGACTTTAGAGTCCTGGCTACAATGTAATGAGGTGACCTCAGGGCCTGGATGGGAAAACAAATCCCTCTAAATGAAGAGATCCATAGACTGGATTGGACAGAGTCCACTTACATCACACGATTCATGTTAGGGCTGTTTAGCTGCATGTTCATGTACAGGTTCTGATGCTTAAGGCCTAGGTCACACCTCTGCATGTTGCAGTTGGTGCATTTCTCTGGTGCGTCTTTTTTTTCACACGTGGCTTTAATATGTTTTTGGAAGGCGTCTGTTGTCTTACAGGAAAAAAAACAAAAAATGCATCAAAAAATACAAGCACTGCAGTTTTTTTTTTTTTTATGTGTTTCCATTAAAGTCTATGGAACCAAAATTGCAACCTGCTGCAGGGAAAATAGTCCTTGACCCTTTCCAAAAAACACAGTGGTGGAAAATGCACAGATGTGAATGTGACCCGTAAGAAACCAAGTTAAATGGACTGTAGTGTTTTCTGCAAAACCGAAGACACACTGCAAAACGCATAGGTGCGAACCAGGCCTACTGGGAGAAATGTGAAGCCTGCCATTGCTGGCCTCCCTGTCAGTGGCTTGTTAAAGAGCTGAAAAGCCTCCTGCTGTAGAAGAATTCTGACAGTCTACGGTCCATCCCGGCACTGCTGTCTTTGGAAGACTCTTCATCAGCTGACACTGCTGGGAGTGATGAATGCAGTGTCCTCCATTGTGATTCCATCCTCTGATGTCCTACATCACCACTGATGATGTAGAGCACAGGTGTCAAACTGGTGGCCCTCCAGCTGTTGCCAAACTACAAGTCCCATGAGGCTTTGCTAGATTGATGGTTACAAGCATGACTCCCAAAGGCAGAGGCATGATGGGACTTGTAGTTTCACAACAGCTGGAGGGCTGCTAGTTTGACACCCCTGATGTAGAGTATGGAACATGGCGTGTGGCGGGGGATACGGACATCCTGCAGTTCTGGAAGTGTCATGCAGAAGAGTCTTACTAAAGCCGACCATGGATGGGGAGTTTCTTTTTTCTCCATTCAGCCAGTTATCTAAATGGGGGGGGGGGGGGGGGGGATGGAAAAGATTCCTCCATCCACCCAAACAAGTGCTATAGCCAGAATACTCTAGCCAGAATCCCCCCAATGCTTTTAGAATATACTGATCTACAGTTGCTGATGAACAAATGTCTTCCAGCATATCCTTTTGATGGAAGTTGAATTTTTGTGGCCATCCCCAGTTGATGATTTAGTCATCTGGTCTCTGCTCAGCCAGCTGAGTTTTGATCCATCTATGACCAGCTTTTGGCCCCATGTACACAGGGCATTGGCTAACCTCTCCTAGGCGCCTTTCCTCTTGTCAGCCATGTTTTTGCAGGAAAAAATGCTTGAGGCGTGTAAAGTGTTTAGACGCATCACGTTATTGGGCGTTAAGTCATTTCACTCACAGTGTTAATGTGTATTTACACATTTTAAGTATTTTCCTGGTTGCTCTGACAGTGGTTTGTTTGGGGGTTTTTTTGCCTCTAAACTCCACTAAATGCCTATGTAAGCATGGACACAGGCTAACAAGGAGGGGCATTTAGAGGCAGAAAATAAAATGCCAGATGCCCCTAAAAGCAGCTTTAAAGTCTGTGTGTGTGTCCCCGTAGCATGGAAATGTAGATGCGGTAGGTAGGGGTGATGGACTGCTGGAGAGAGGAGTAGATGAGCTCTTCTATAGTGGGAGACTTTCATCCATCCCTACTGAAGGAGCTGCTTTAAATTCTGGTTGCCTGACTCCTCTGGCTTTGAACAAGCATGCAGCAAGTAAAAGTAGAACACCTGGACTGTGCACTTGATCCAGGGGTCAGGGATGCCAGGTATTGAAGTCTATGGATCAGTGTGAATGCTGTGCACCTGGAATTTTCAGCATGAGACATCTGTAATGGTGCCCATGTGTTTCTTTATAAAGGGATTACAAGAAACCCAGATTCAGTATTGGTAAAAAAGAGGGATTTGTGTATATCAACCTCCCTGCACTCCGATTTCCAGTAGAGTGTATAGGAATCTGTTTGCAGTCAGTGATGTCTGTGTCAGCACGGTGCATAGAACTCCTAAAAAAGCCTGGGCCTGTATACATGAAGCTATGGAGGAAGGATGTGTAATCTCCTTGTGGCTGCTGCTCGGTGGTGCTGTGATGTTTCCTGACGTGAAGGTCACCTTGGAGGTGTGAGTCAATATAACGTTCTCCTTCGGAGAGCAGCACTGTGAATTCATCATACATGGAGATGAGTCATCTCCATGTGGTGGAGGCCATGTCTACATCGGGCCTACTGATCCTGTGTGGTACAGAGCACATTATCTGCAGATTACATCTTCTATGATGAATTTTTACATGTGTGCTGTCTGATATAAACCAGCATTTCATCACACTTGGAGGATTCCAGTTATGACATTGAAATCAGCATGTTGTGTTAGGATTGTGAGGCCGCCTGGTTGTTCCTTGTTCTCAGTATCACTGCCTGGTAATATCCATTAGTTGCATGGCCGTGTCAGGAAGGCCAAGATAATTCTGCCTGGAATCTTCCTGAAGGCTAAAATAGCATGTGGGGGACGGCGGGAGGAGTTGTGGACAGGATAGCTGGCTTCACATGTGCACTGCTGCAGCTGTTTTGTAGTATTCCGTGACCCTGCACTTGTGGTTCCGTGCAAAACGTGTTTATTTCATGTGTGTAATTCTGATCCATGGTACTAGAACTGCAGACATCATAAACAGAGACGATGCCTAATCTGACTGGAATAGGACAGAGCTCATCATACATAGTATGCACGTTCTCATGATTTTAGCTGCACCAAAAGGCCTCATGCACACTGGATGTGTTTTTTTTGTTTTTTTTTTTTTTTTTTTTTTTTATTACTATATAACTCTCCTAGAAGCCTTGTGGCAACAGCATTTTGTCAAAAAAAAAAAAGCCTGATGCTTGTAAAAGTGTGTAAAGGATTTAACCGTGTCAAGCATTTGGGCATTAATTTAATTTCATTAGCCAGAAAAAATAGTTTATTCTGGCTACTGAAATGAATTAATGCTCAAGCACTAAACATGCATCTACATGTGTTAACATGCGTCAGGCGTTTTTTCTGCCAAAACTCACCTGCTCCTGGCTGTTTTTTTTTTCTGTCTCTAAACTGTGCTGCCACTAAACCCCTCTAAAAGTGTATGTGTGTATGGACGCATAGGGTAACATGCAGGGGAGTTTTAGAAGCAGGGAAAGAAATGACAAATGCCCCTAGGAACAGTTGTAAAAACATCCAGTGTGTATGAGGCCTATAGGGCTGTACTTCTGATCGTGATTGTAGCAGTTTCCAGGTTAAGGATGGACATGCACATATGAATAATGAATGGGAGAGCACGTCTGATGCCTGCAGGGTTCTGGGACATGTTCCACTCTGTTAGTGAATACTCTCCGGGTGGGGCGTCTGATGGAGCAATGAAAATTATTACGCCTACGGTATTAGGTGCAGACTAGACACTGTCAGAAAATATTCAGTATAAGATGTTGTTCCAAGTTTTTTCTTATTTTTATTTATTTTTAGGTATTTGTGTTGCATTTTTTATATTTATTATAGCAGTTTTATTTTTCAGCATTTTGAGACCATGATGTAGTAGTAGCATTATTATTTATTAATATTATTTATGTTTTTTTTTTTTTTTTTATATAGAATTCTATAAAATGGTTTACTATAAGTAGTGTCCACCTTCCATGCTGAATTGATCTGTTCTATTTTATCCCTCTGCCAGTAAACTAATCTAGGTCACTACTGATGACCATTTGCTATGCAGGAAAATATATGTCAAACAGAAGCATAGTGTCATCTGCATCTCTACAATGTATAGGCCATCCATTACATGTAGCTGCACAAGGGGCGCTGCCTGGCCTGTGAACAGAACACCTTTGATGTGGTAGTCCTGATAACATGGCGGGGAAACTTTTTGTTTTACTTTTTATTCCTGTGCAAGCCTCTACCTGCTTTTACTGTAATTCTGCCAGGGGAATGACTTCCATTTATAAAAACTAGTCACAGTGCCAAATACACCAATAATAGTAATTGCCTGTGTTTGCAACTGAGCTTCATGCTTTGTGTTTTTCTTTTTTGACGGAGACTGGTTGGTAAACACAAAACCCTGCCAAAAATCAGCAAACTCACGCGTGTATGTGCTTCTTTCATAGATTGAAGTCTATGGGGCCAAAAATGCACTCTGCGACACTTAAAGAAGCACCTGTACCTCTTTAATGTTGCACTGATGTGAACGGGCACTGTCGAGAATAATGCAATTTCCATTGTTGTGCATTGTGTTGCAACAACAGACGCAGGAGAAATCACACTAGTGTGAACAGGGCCTTTGATTGCAGGTACTGGAATTTTTAGTGTAGGAACCAGCTCACTGGGAGTTAAATGGAATTGTTCTTTTTGAAGTTGTAGTTCAACCTGTTGTCCATTATGACCACAGTGTTCAACTGTTAAGTGTGTAAATATTTATGTTGTAACCTTGGTTGCAGAGGAAGCTTGACTAATATATTATTTAACATTTGATTTGTCTCAAGTCAGCTGTCATTGCTGCAAAAGGAAGCAGGGTCATTAGTTCTGGCTTTGCAAAAGAAAAAGTGAATGTGCATCCACTTAGGGAAGATCCCTATCTAGGTGTGATGCATGTGCATTTATGTGTAATTTTGCACAGCCCTTTCATTTTAATGGGCTTCCCTATTCCTTATGTTTTTAAAGTGCTGCATAAACTGTTGTCACTATATAAATGCTGAATAATAAAAATGTACAAAAGATCATAAAAAAAGTGTTGTAATTTAGCACATGTGACAACGTGCGCATTAGCAAGGCGAGTTGGGGGTGGTATTAGGAATTAATGGCAACTACTGCACACCTGGAAGACCCCCTATCTCTGTCTATTGTGTTTTTTTTTTTTGTTTTTTTTTTGTTTTTTTTTATCCATTTATGCTTTTTTATATGTCATTCAGTGATTGATTTAAATATTTATATATTTACATACATACATACATACATACATACATACATACACTCACACTCTTAATGTGTTGATTGGGGGTTTTTACTATGGGCTGCTATTGTTTCTTTTATTGATTTAACAGGAGTCCTACAATATTTAGAACAATGTAATCTTTTTGTTGATGCAATATAAAAATATTAATGCATTTTTTTTTTTGTTTTTTCTTCCCTAGGGTTGACTTTAATGTCCCTATGAAAAATAACCAAATTACAAACAATCAGAGGTAGGTCGCCAGTAGAAATACCTAATTTATGTACACGGTTTTGTTTTAGTTAGGGGTGTAGCCATAGTATGTTCGTTTTCCCAAAGTCTACCCAGAACAAGTACAGATTGAGTTAGGAGGAGGATTTTTTTACTTTTACTCAGATCTGCTCATTTTGGTGAATGGTAGTATTTATTTTCCGGTTTCACTGGTGATCTTGTTATAGTCAATATGGGCCCTTTTCACACGGTATCATTAGTTCAGTCACTGCTCCCCCTTTTTTTTTTTTTTTTTTTTTTTTTTTTTTTTTTTTTGTTTTGTCTGCGGACACAATCCTACTGAAGTAAGCAACTATTACTGTACATACTGTATGTCCATTTACATCTATCCACCCATAGATGTACATTGCTGTTCGGTCTGGATCCTTTTGGAAAAACTGACCGACATATCCAGACTGAATGCCCATGTGAAAGGGTCCTAATGTTATAAACCAAAGTGAAATATTTGTGTGTTTTGCTAAAATGAATTGTTTACTTCTTTCTAATCTGTGTGCTGTCTGTAGGATTAAAGCTGCTGTTCCCAGTATCCAGTATTGCTTGGACAATGGTGCTAAATCAGTCGTTCTAATGAGCCACCTGGGACGGCCGGATGGTGTTCCCATGCCTGATAAGTACTCCTTGGGTCCAGTTGCTGTGGAACTTAAAGCTCTCCTAAAAAGGTATTTTTTCTTTTAATGTGTTCTATTTACTAATATATGGACCATCTTGCAGTCCTTTGTGGTTGGTGTGCTAACCACATGCGTTGTGGTAAGGCAGTTCATTTGGTATGAATGGACTGCCAGCACCCATCAGACCAAAAATTTTGTCCATAGTTTTAGTTTTATAATTTGAATTCCATACCTATTTTACACTTTTTTTTTTTTTTCTGAATTTATTCATCTAAAATGTGCTTTCTATGGAGTGTTGAGTAGAAAACTCCAGCCCCATCTGATAATTTAGCACTGATTGGATGGCATTGTGCTGAAGGACACACTTGCTTCTCGCTTATTACATGACTGTGTGGATGTCTCATTGAAGCTATTTAGCCAATATTATTTTTATTTTTTTTTTTTTTTTAGATACCTGCAGTTAAAGTGAATTAGCTGGAATTCACATAACTTTACCTTTTGTAAAACACAGAGTGCATAATGTTTAAAGAAAAGGGTCACAGTCCAGTTCTGAAGATATTCGTGATTACCTATGTTGGTACTTTTTTAATATGGTGTGTTCATATTTTGTGTGCAGGGATGTAGTGTTTCTGAAGGACTGTGTGGGACCAGAAGTGGAGGCGGCATGTGCTAATCCAGCCACTGGGTCCATTTTTCTCCTGGAGAACCTGCGATTCCATGTAGAAGAAGAGGGTAAAGGCAAAGATGCAGCTGGGAACAAGGTTGGACTCTATGGGCTTTGTTGTGTCACGTATTGCTTGCCCTGAAATGGTGGTTTCTTCTCTCTAAAGCCCTGTGTGTGTGTGTGTGTGTGTGTGTGTGTGTGTGTGTGTGTGTACAGTATCTGCAACAGTACTAGACTAGCTGCAGTCACCATGCATATTCAACAGAAAACATATCTATTCCCTCCCCCCCCCCCCCCCCCCCCAAAAAAAAAAAAGATATAGATGGCATTTGCAACTTGGATATGGAGGCTGCAGCAGACGGTTTTTTTTTTTTGTTTGTTTGGTTTTTTCCCTTTTATATTAACCTAGTAATTCTGCCATTTTAATGCACTTTCTGTCTTAGGTTGGCAATAGTACTGAGCAGCATTGTCACCCTCGGACAGGGAGTGTTAGGACTACGTCATTCATTGATATTTATTTTTATTACAGTGGTTAAAAAAGGCAGAAGTTCTATGCATGAAGATAAATTTACCTTTTTGTATATCCTCCAACACCCTTACAACACCCCGTCCCCACTAACACCTGATTGCCTGTGACCGATATTGATCCAGCGATGTGCCATGAGGGTAACAGTTGTCTCCCTCCCCATTGGCTCAGAGACAGCAGCAGGAGCCATTGGCTTCCGCTGTTGTCAGGCACAGCCAGTGAAGAGGAAGTTGGACCGCTGCTGAGCCACGCCCTTTGTGACTATGGACACAAAGCTGCCTTGGGAGCGAGCACATGTGAGTGTCTCCATAGCAAGGGGCTTGCTAGGGTGGTGCTCGGCAGTTGGCAGGAGAGACCCGGGAAGCTGAGGTAGGTGTGTGTGTGTCTTTTTTGTTTTCATTTTAATAACTACTATATAATAATTTTTAAGAATTGTTGACACACACTAAAAAATTCTTGTGTGGTTTATAAAATATTTGTAGTGTCATGGGGACTGACGTAGGGAATAATGTTAAAATAAAATGTTGTTACAGCTTGCTCTGTCTGTCGGAGTGAGAGAACAGGCTCAAATGTCGATCCAAATGCTTTTTTATCTTTTAGTAAAGTCAGTCCAAGTTCACCAAGTACAGTCTGATACAGGTCTGTGGAACGTTTGACCTCTGACATTTTACTGAAGGTCAAGAAAGGAGTCATTTGGACTCCTGTTATTTTTAGTATCTCTGACCTGGTTTAATATACTGTCCTTGAATTTTCAAACTACTGTACAGCTGGAGAAACTCTGTCCTATATTTGGGTGACCTTTAGTGACTGAAATAGGAGAGCTGATGTGTGAACTGTCAAAGGGTGACTTGTGAATATGAGACAGCTTCTTGAAGAGGTCAATTTAGTTTATATTCTGGTGACTGAAATGTCCTTTGTGTTCCAGTATTTGGGATTGGGCAGATCTGGGATCCAGTAATACAATGGTATGTTGGGAAAAAATGAACAGCTGCAAGTTAATTTAATTGCAGGCATTTTATACAGTGTCAACAATAGATGCAGTTCTTTACATATTGAACTGTATGTTCGCATCAGTTCCTACCCTAAAGGAACTTACATTCTAACATCTATATCTTACATGCCTATATACACATGCACACATACTAGGGCAAAGTTAGTCCACGGCCAATTAACCTACCAGCATGTCTTCTGGGTAATGTGAGAAGTCTGGTTTCTAATGTTATCTAGCTGTTCTAGTGATGCTGTCTTTGGTGTAATCTGTTCTGTCTATAATACTTATTATAGTTATAAAACGGAATGATCACTTTACTGTAAATTGAATGTAAATAGTAACACCCGGGGGGGTGTGGGGGAGAGTGGGAGGTGGAGGGTGTGGGGGATTGTGGTGATCAGAGTTCATAGACGTGTGTGTGTGTGTGTGTGTGTGTGTGTGTGTGTGTGTGTGTGTGGTGTATATTGTTATATAATTGTTATACAGGATTTATATAGCGCCAACAGTTTGCTCAGCACTTTACAATATGACGGGAGACAATACAGCAACAATACAGTTCAGTACAAGAGGCTTGGGAGGACCCTGATCCTTGGAGCTTACAATCTAAGAGGGAGGGGCTATATTATATTAGTGACATGGGGTAGTTGGCTCTCATGGTAGATGTGGTTTTTTTTTTTTTTTTTGTTTTGTTTTTTTGGTTTTTTATGCAGTGGGTCCACAGTAGACAATAAATATTTTAAGGGTCTGGTCGACCACGTTTATTAAAATAGCAGAAAGCAAGCAGTCCAACATAAAGTTTCCCACACAGGGATCTTTTCAAGCTTCAGCAGAATCAAATTCTGGAAAATGCCAAACCAACTGTTAGCTCTCCTGGATACTTGGCTCTCTAGCCTTTAGTCACAGCACCCTGCTGCACAACCTATCTTTGGCCAATGGATTAGGGTTCTCCTAACACTCTGACAGGAGCTGACCTGACTTCTGGAACTGAGACCTTTGTCTCCTGGCTTCTGACCCTCTGGCCCCTCAGTAAGACCTTTTGTCTCCCACACTGGGATCTGTCTCCAACTGGGAGCCCTGAGCTATCCTTAGACCTGAGCATATAATGATCCTGTATACCCGTGCACTCAACCAGGTTGCAGGTGTCTAACCAAACCCGGACACAGAATTGAATGTTCTGATCCAGAACTGCAGAATCCAGGGAATTGGGAGACTGTGTTGGTCCAGACAGTAGACTGGACAGCAACTGTTGAATTCCACACGTGTGTGTGTGTGCGTGTAATTTAAAAAAAAAAAAAATAAATAACAAATTTTAATTTTTTTTCTTTTTTTCCCCTTCAAAACAATCCGTGTTAATGGGGGCATCACTCCCACGGGGCTATTGTGTTCTCCCAGTGGGAGTTGACCATCCCTGTCAGGAGAATACAGTAATTATTGCTGGTGGCTATAGTCGATAGTAGTAGTTGCATGAAAAATCTGAGAGAGGCTGGTTGTACCCAAGTCCTAAAACAATCGGGTACAATCCGCTTGCCCATAGATGTTTTGGAATTTTGGACGGTCCCTGCTGAACTGGCCAAGATTCAAACCATCTATGGCCAAGCTTAAAGGAAGTTGTTGGCCTTCAGCAGCTAGCCTGATCTAGTAAAAGTTGGAGCATTCTTTCACTAAAGCATACACCCGGTTGAGGGTTGTTTTTACCCAGGAATGCCTGTTCCACGCAGGCACTCCAATTCATGTCATTTTGGATGTAGCAGCTGCATGTCTACAGTGCCTGTTCCCAGTATGACAGCTGTGTGCACACTGTAGGCATTCAGGGCCATACACCCACATGGATATCATTTTGGGAGCAGCAGTTGTATCCCAATTGACACAAAGGGGCTACCTGCACAGGGAACACCTGTGCATTCCCATGTGGGCAAGGACAGCCCTCGTACAAGTATATGCTGTAGTAGGCCCCTGTGGGTGAGGCATTTACCCACAGTTGTTATATTATCCTTCTTTTTTTTTTTTTTTTTTTTTTTTTTTTCTCCTTTTCTTTTCTTTGGGATGAAATGAGTTGCCGAATTGTTTGTCTATTGTACCCAGGGGTGTATTTACCACAAGGCACTTGCCTAGGGCAGCATTTTTCAGGGGGGCAGCACCTCACCCAGACGAAGTGATGAAAGAAGGGACACGTGCACCATGGGAACCAGGTGGGATCCGAGAGAGGCTGCTTGATGTTGTATGTAGAGCCTGGCTCTCGCTCCCTTCCCGGGGATGTCCGGAGATGCGTAGATGAGTGTCTCTCTATCGCCGCGGGTGGGGGGCAGTGGAAGATTCTCCCAGGTGGGGGAACAGGTGTGTTGTTGGTCAATGTCAGGCTCTCTCCACGGGAGGGGGGGTGGGGGGGTTGTGTTGGTCGGTGTCTGTGGGGGCAGACAATTTTTGTGTTGCTTAGGGCAGCACAAAACCTAAATAGTCCACTGATTGTACCCATATCATTTTAGTACAGCACGTTTAAGAGGATCTAACTGGTTGATGTGGGCTGAAGTTTAACATTTATTTTGAGTGTGTGGTGTTTTTTTTTTTTTTTTTTTTTTTTTTTTTAAATTAATTTTATGCATCCTATTTAGATCAAGGCAGATGCTGCCAAGGTGGATGCTTTCCGTGCCTCTCTGTCTAAACTTGGTGATATCTACGTCAATGATGCTTTTGGGACTGCACATAGAGCTCACAGGTAATAAAACATTGCACTTGCTAGATAAGTCGCAGGACTGGACCTGCAATGCTGCATCTGAACCTGAACTGAGAGCAGTGTTTTCAGCAACAACTCTCATATCTAGAGTAACCTCCTGAGAGGCAATGTAATTCCCAGGGACCCATCTGAGAATAGATGCAGTTGCTCTCAGGCTTCAAAACAATTAATGCCATATGCTTTATAATTTTACACGATATGAGGGAATTCTCATCTCAGGATGTTATTTCTTTTTAAAGATTTATATTCTGTTAACTATTTCCAGCTCTCAACACAAACCTATCTATGCATCCATATTATTATTATTTTTATAAATTTTATTTTTTTAATTTGGATTCTTGGCAAAGCAAACGTGTGTTTTTTTTTGTTTTTTTTTTTTTTTTTTTTTTGCCAGCTTTGGGCTTCATATAGGTTAGTATTTTCTCTTTTCTTGAGCCCAAATGGCAGTGAAATCTGGGGGACTCAGCTCACCCCAGCACCGCCTACATCTGACCATGCCACATTTAATTACCTAACACTCCGGCATCCTTACAGACAGGCGTCAGGCTGCATGCTAAACTCTCTGGGGACGCATTCGGCCCACCGGGTGGGGGTTGGACACCCCTGCTATAGAGTATTACTTGAGTGGCGACAGCTCTGAGTCTGCTGACATCATATCCAAGATGACGGGGCTCAGCAGCAGTCTCTAGGCCTTTGAATGTGTGTACAGGTAAATGTACATATATTTGCAGCTTAAGGGGGTGGCCCTAGAGTGATATATTTATTAAGCAGTGTAACTATAGGGTAGTCTGTTCTAAAAGAGTTTGGATAAAAGTTTTGTGTTTGCAAATGTTATTAACCTGCACCTAGCATGGCTTCTATATAGTTCTCTTTCTACCTCTTTTCCAGCTCTATGGTTGGTGTTAATTTGCCCCAGAGAGCTGCTGGGTTCCTAATGAAGAAAGAGCTTGATTATTTTGCCAAGGCACTGGAAAACCCAGAAAGACCTTTCCTCGCCATTCTTGGAGGGTAGGTATCACTGAGATCTTACTAGCTTCTGTGGTAACCATTACCTTGTATTCTAAATAAATATAGGGATGTAGGATAAGGAATGTATTTCAGTATCATATTAATTTATGTACAATTTTACTGCTGGACAATGCTGTTCTAGGATTTTTTTTTTTTTTTTTTTCTTTGTTCTTCGTATGATAGCTAGCCACAGTGTAATGTTTGCTTTCTGTCGTCTACCTCACATAACATGGTCTTCACTTCTGCACACTAACAGATTAGCTGTGAGTGATCATTGATGGTAATGCTGTGTCAGCCTCTATTGTGTTAAGCTAGGGATTGTGTCTCTGCTGATGGCTGTAGACTTTGACCTATTGCCTCACTTTCATGCTGTGTACTCCAGCTGAACTGTAAATTGCTGATTAAGCTGGGAGAGTTCAGCTAGAAAAAAACATCTTTCAGATCATAAAAGACTGTGTTTATTCTACAGTTATGTATGGAATGTTAATGTTCTGTTTTTTTGGAACTGTTTGTGTGTGCTTGACCTTGACAATGATGACGCCTGCACACACAAACGTACCAATTCTATTGATTTCCATGTTTAGCTCAAGGCGGAACATTGTGTTTACGGTATTCTCAGGAAGGCAGATCTCTCATAGGGTGTACAGGTGGTAAGATTTGCCCAGTCTCTAACTTGGGCATTGTTGGGACCTTTTTTTTTCTCAGGATGTACATGTGGCAAAGATTTGGACAAACATAATTTCAAAAATAAAGGCAAGCTATTTCTTAACAGAACAAGATAAAGCTACAAAGCAGATTGCATGAATTATACCAGCAAATTTGAGCTGTGGACACATGCGCTACAGTCAAGGCTTGCATAAATGTACTGTAATGTAGATCCTGCATGAAAATAATGTATTAGCTATATTAATGACTTTGCTGAAACACATAGAAAAATGTGTGCATTGCTACATGTTCCCACAATACACCTTCTCTATTGATTGTCTGTTGTGTTGCTATTCATTGTAAATATCACCTTAGTGCATTCTACAGTTGAGTGCAATGCACGGTGTTCTGCAGCACATATCAATGCACATACTGTGTGTTGCGGTGTACTGTTGCTTTAACGTTGACCCATTTAGAAGGAATGAACTGCCTTAAAGTAACATGCATTAATGCACTAAAATAGATTGCTAAAGCATGAATGAGCCCTTGCTTTCCATGAAAAATCATATGTTAAGTCTGCGTTGTCCAGGTTTTTGACTGTTTTTACCAAACAAGCTGCATTTGCTGTCCATGTCCTCAAGAGCACGTTAGACTTCCTGAGCTCCACTGATGTAGAGGTATTCAGGTTTTTTTGTTTTTTGAGGGAAAGAAAATGGTTACATTAAAAAACATTGAAAAACAGATACATATGAAAGACAAAGTAGTGACCTGTATCCAATGAACTGATACAACTCTGAAACATTTAGTCCATCAGAAGGCACTTATTCAACTTTTTTACTACCTACAAAAGAATTTTGGATAGATCATGTAAATCTGTAGTGACACAGAAGCTGCTTCCTCTCTGGACATCCTAAGCTGGTCTGTTATTTCCAGGGCCAAGGTCAAGGACAAGATTCAGCTGATCAATAACCTGTTGGACCAAGTGAATGAAATGATCATTGGTGGAGGAATGGCATTCACCTTTTTGAAAGTGCTGAACAACATGGAGGTATGTGCTGACGTTCTGTATAGCTGTGTTGTTTGATACATTTGCAGGGATTTTGGGATCTCTGCTAGATTTCCCCAACTGGAGTTTTATTTGGGTTATCAGATTATCACTTTCATAGTTTTAAAATATTGTGTAGTTACTTCAAAATAGTCTTTGAAAGGAGGCAGGAAATGCTTTGTTCAAGAGTTTCAAATTTAACTATAAAGGTTGAATAATTTATGGAAACTGTTGTTTTTATATCAAATATGATGGTTAAGGACTACAAATTCAAGGGTGATATCCTTGACTTTCCCCTTTTTTAAAAACAAAAAACCACCCCTTTCTTTGGCTGTGCTGTTAGTTGAACCCTAGTCAAATGAAAAAAGGCTAATCTTATTGCAGCTGTGCAATCATCATTACATTTTTAAATGCATGTGGTGTGCTGGTACCTGCATTTGACCTGGTATCCGTCTTTTTTGCATTTTTACTACACAGCAGGGATGAAGAGTGGGAGGAAGAAGCTGCTCAAGGAGTCAATCAGTTCATGGAGCATTCTGATGGGGGAGGGGGAGAGTGCAGAGAGTTGAGCTTAACACAGTGCTGCTTCTTCTTTCTGTGTACAGTAACAAGCTAGGTCCAGAACAATCTGGGTTAAATGGAAATGGTTTGAATAATGTTGGCCTTAAGGCTGAATACATCTAGCAGCAAAAAAATATATTACCTTTGTATTTTTTGGCTGGAGTTTTGTTTCAATAATTTTATTATTAGTGGGTGTTTTGTTTTTTTTTTTTTTTTTTTTTTTTATAGATTGGTACTTCCTTGTTTGATGAGGAAGGAGCCAAGATAGTAAAGGACCTGATGGCTAAGGCTGAGAAAAACAATGTAAGGATTACTCTGCCTGTGGACTTCACAACTGCTGACAAGTTCGATGAGAATGCCAACACTGGGCAGGCCACAGTTGCTAGCGGAATCCCAGCAGGATGGATGGTGAGTACCAGAGCTCTGGCCTAATTTAATTTTAATGTGTTTTAGCTGTGGATATCACTACATTCAGTATACTCAATATGTAGGCTTTTTGATGGCATTGCATTTGAATTGCAACTGTGATCAGTTGTGGTCATTTTAATTCGCTCAGAATGAAAAGCGCTCTCCTGGAGCATTTCACTCCTTGGTAGTGCAACTGAAGCAAACAGTCAACTATGGTAGCAAGGCACTGTCAAAAAATCCCGGAATAAAGTAGTGGACAGGAGATGGATACAAAAAAATTGCATGGCTTTATCAATGCCTAGAAGCACAGTGAATACTATTAAGAAGTGGAAGGTATTTTGTAATACAAAGACCCTCCCTGGATCAGGACATTGCTGCAAACTGGATGAAAGAGCCAGGAGGAAACTGGTCAGAGAGGCTACCAAGAGGCCTACAGCAACTCTGAAGCAGTTGTAGGAATTTATGACCGAGTGGCCATTGCGTGCATTTGAGAACAATATCACAAATTCTCCACAAATGTGGCTCGTATGGGGAGGGTTGCAAGCAAAAAGCCACTCCTCAAGAAAGGCCACATGCAGTCATGACTGAGCTTTGTCAAAATGCACCTTGAAGATTCTGAGGCCACATGGGGAAAAGATGTTATAGTCAAATGAGACTAAAATTTAATGATATGGCCTCAACACTAAACTCTATCTGGTGGAAATCCAATACAGCTCACCATCCAAAATAACCCCATTCCAACAGTAAAACATGGAGGTGGTATTCTGTTTTTTGGGGTTTTCTCTGGAGCACTTTTCAGGATAGATGGAAAAATGGATGGGGCAAATTGCCCTCAAATGTTTCAGGAAAAGCTGCTGCCCTCTGCCAGAAAATTGTCAATGGGAAGGTTTATCTTCCAACATGACAATGACCCAAAGAACACAGCAAAAATGACCACAGTGTCTAAGGAGAAAAAGCTGAATGTCCTTACATAGCCTAGCCAGAGCCCAGAATTAAAACCCCATTGAAAATCTGTGGAATGACTTGAAGACTGCAGTCCACAAATTGTCACCATCAAATTTAAACCGAACATGAGCAGCTCTACAAAGAAGAGTGGGCAAATATTGCAAAGTTAGTTAGAGCCATATATCTCAGCAGACTAAAGGCTGTAATTTTAAAGCAAAAGGCGGTTCAACTAAATACTGATACAATGGGGTGATCTTTTTTTTTCCATCTCCCGTGATTTTGTCTCTTTAAATGTTTTTTTTTCTGACATGTTGGTGTTCTGTCACTTGGATGTTATAAGTTGCAGTAAATACAGCTGGATAAAACAAAAACTGTGTCTGTCTTCATTTTCAGGCTGCAAAGCAACATGTGATTTTTTTTTTTTTTTTTTTTTTTTTTTTTTTTAAGGGGGCGATTCTTTTCTATACCCACTGTGTATATGTTTGTAAATAAAAATACAATTTATTATTCTTAATACATTATGTATTTTTTGTGGGGGGTGGGGGCTTAAGCCACAAATTACCAGCATTTTAGTTGTCTGGTTCTACCTACAGTAGTTCTGAATTGTTTCATAAATACGAGCAGTGAAAGGTAGGAGGTGGCTTTTTTCTTTCAATGGTATAATGGACTTTCTCTCATATTAATCTTTTACAATTTCCTTTTTATATAGGGTCTTGACTGTGGGCCAGAAAGCATGAAGCTGTTCGTAGAAGCTGTGGGAAGATCCAAGCAGATTGTTTGGAATGGTCCAGTTGGTGTGTTTGAATGGAACAAGTTTGCTGAAGGAACTAAAGCAGTAATGGACAAGGTCGTGGAAGTCACAGGCAAAGGAACCAAAATCCATCATTGGTGAGAGATGACTCTGTTATTTATTTTTTCACGTTTGCCAATGTGTTCCAAATCTAAGGTGTCAATTGGCAACAAATTTAAAACCCTTTTCTTGCACAGTACAGGACGCAGGATTTTTAGGCTCTGTTCACAGTGCGTTGACTTTCACTTTACTGCACTCGAATAATGCAGATTACCACTAGGACACACCGAAAACAATTGTTTGTGTCCGATATGCAATGCACACCAGAGGTGAAGTGCAATGAGCTGTGATAAACTGCAGACATGATGTGTTATATGGCAGTGCACTGGACCGGATTGCTTGTCACTGTACAGCAGCATAATTCACCATGCTGCTCTACAGTGACATGAAGTGTCACGTTTGTGTACTTCAAATAGTTTGTGCAAAAAAGGGGACTGCGTGATGCAATGAAAACTGCCCCCTGCTGCCACCTCACTGCAGCTGGAACAGACAGCTGTCGAAAACCCTAAACCGCTCAGTCTTTATTGTGCAGCACCTGTCTCCATTGCTGTGTGAATGGGCCCTTGGTCTTATTCTTGGGTTATATGCTGCAACCTTCAGGTGACTGGATACTGGCAAACAGGGTGATCTACAGGGACTTTCCTGTAACCCTTTCAATCCCAGCTAGTCTCAACTTTTTGGTGATGATTCCTGTAACGGAACCGGAACCCAGACCGCACTGAGTTTTTCCGTTATAGCACAACTTCCCCTGCACCTCCCAAATCCGCTGCCTGAGCTCCAGGTACTGATCCGTAGGCACAGTCCTGGGGTATGTTGCAAGGACGATCTGCAGCAGCCCTGGGAACTCTGATGCCAGGTCCGTATCTCCACTGGGTGTGTCTGACGTCTTTTCCTGCTCTTGAATCCCGGGTGGTGGTTTGGATGTGTTTACAGTTGGAAGCACAATCCCACTGCTGCCACCAATGTAACGGAACCAGAACCCAGACCGCACTGAGTTTTTCCGTTATAGCACAACTTCCCCTGTCCAAACACCATCCACGGACCACGCCCTTGAAATCCCTCAGGAAAAAGACAGCACCCAGCTCTTAAAACAGAGTCAACTCTGTTTATTTTTAACACAAAACACAGGATATATACAGAGGGCGGGGAAACACAACCAGGAACAGGAAATACATCATCACCCCTCCCCATCCCACCAAGACACAGAACAATGGGATGAAACACATGGCAAAGGACATTGACCAACCCCCACACCAATACACAAACAGTACATCCCATAATAGTTGGCTGGACAGGAAGACACAGCACAATGGGGGGTAGCACATGGCAAACAAACAATGGACAGCCATGTGGCCGAGAACAAAGGAACACACACTATACACAAGACTCAGACATTCACATACACACCCTGTACCCCTTAACAGGCACAGAGTGGGTTAAACATAATGATTTGGGGAGATGATACAGGTGTCCCCCCCCCACCCCCAAATGTCGCTCCCGTCACAATTCCTTCTCTGTACTAAGAAATTAAAATTGCAAAAGAAGCTTGCAATTCTCCTTTTTGTCTTTCCCGAATTCTCTATCAAGACTTCATCAGGAAAGTTGCCGTGTAGCTTCTGCTGCTATACAGTGTCTTTCTTGAATAAAAATACATGGATCCCTTATTCAAACTGGTGGCCTGTGCACTTCCAGTTTACGGCTTGATGTTATCGGCGTACCCTACGCGTTACATCATGACACGTGACTTCATCAGGAGTACTCCTGAAGTATTTTTATTCAAGAAAGACACTTTATAGTGAGTCCTTAATCCTGCAGTGTCCCAGGTGGACACTTACTAATGTGAGGGCATTTTATCAGTATTTTAATAAAGTTAGATACATTTGCCTATACTTCACTATATGGAGCATTTTTTTTTCATTTATCTGTGGAGCGTTTTGGAGCTTAGAAGTGCTGACGGTGGTGGAGATCTTATATCCTCCCGGGTTAAAGGGAAAGGCGTAGTTTGACCTGAGTATTCGGGTCAAACCTGAAGGTGAGCGCAATAGTGTGTCGGAGGTGGATAAGCACTAAGGGTGACACAGGAGCACCGTATATGTGTATGCAGTAGTGTGATTACACAGATTCACTTGGAGAACAGCGGTCTTATACAGGTTCACCAGGGTTCTGATACCATAATATGGGGACACTTGACGGTATTTGGTACACGATGCACAGGAGATATATCACATAAGCACATGTGAAGATTTTGGAATGTTAAAGGGACAGTTCACCATTTTTTTTTTTTTATATGGTTCATTTGGTATTTGTATTCACTATTGATTTAGCACTGGTATATGCAGGTTTGTGTGTGTGTGTTGGTATTTATGTAGCACATATTATTGTCATGAACACAATTGTATGTTTCACTATTCACATATGCACATTGGATTTATTTAGCACCATATTTGAGTTTATAGTACTGCGCTGCATTTTTATTTATTTATTTTTTTGGATTTATGGTTTGCATGTGGGAACACAGTACATGCTAGCTGCAATACTTGTTTTATAGGAGATCCATTGGGCTGAGCATATCTCATATACACCTAGTGTTCTGTTCACAAATTGAAAGGTTTACTATATGGCTTTCTAGGCTCACGTGGTGCCTCTTTTGTCAAGGTGCTACAAGCTGCTCTGAGTTCAGATGAGTCAAGAAGAGCTTCACAGTTGCGTAGCACTATTGGTGTTTGCTGTGTTGACCACCCCTTAGTTGAAAGTCCCAGGGTTAAAGACTAAAGATCCTTCAGGCTGGATTCACACTACTTCTATTGCAGTGCACTTGGTAACTCATGCATGCATAGGTGTGAATGGGCCCATATCATTTCCCTTTCACACTAAACTGCAGTGAATAGGTGTGAACCAGCCACATGGAGACTAGGTCTCTACTCTTCATGCTGAAAAATGCATGAGTTTTGCAGCATTATCTGAAAATGGTCATCTATAAGTATATTTGTTGCTAAAATGTTTTCTTTAGATTTAGACAGAGTAGGGAGGCATTGGTCTAACCAGTGGAGAGATTCACCCTTTTAGCTAGGGTTAACTGTCACTGAGGCAAAAAGAAATGGGGGGTGAAAAGTAACACTTTGTTGTCAATGGGGGCATCTGTTCCTGTGACTGGGATTTCAAGGGGGGTGGGGGGGGGGGGGGGCAACAGAAGTGGGGGCAGATCTCCCCAATAGGACACAGGAAAAAAGATGGGTGTTTAGCCATTACCTCCTTTTTATCATTTTAAATAAATTCGAACCTGCAGCACTACTTAAAATATGAGTAAACGCATCATACTTACCAGCTCTGCGCAATTGTTTTGCACAGAGCAGCACCAATCACCCCTCCTCCCTTGCCGAATGCCACCAGAGCAAGCTATCTGCTCTAGGGGCACTCGTGCATGCTCGCTCCCAAGCTGGCTTTGTGTGTCTAGGGGGGTCTTAGAGCACGGCTCAGTCCTGACCCCTGCTCCCTCCTTACTGGCTGGGATTTGACAACAGCAGGCTCTTTTTCCTTCTCTCATACATGCAACCATGTATATTGGCCTGTTTTTAAGAGCTTTTAATTTAACTAAACAGTCTTGAAATCATACTCTTGAAAGTTCAGACTGAAGCAGAACAAGTTGGCAGTGTGATATCTAATAGTATAATAAACCAGAGAAGAAAAGGAAAGCTATGTAGACAGTGGACCAACATACCCAGCTAGTGCCCTGGGGTAGATATTCACCATGGGACATACTGTAAATATAATTTATTTGACCTTCTCTGTCCACAGGTGGTGGAGATACTGCAACCTGCTGTGCAAAGTGGGATACTGAAGACAAAGTCAGCCATGTCAGTACTGGAGGAGGCGCTAGCCTGGAACTGCTTGAAGGTAATTGCTGAAAGCTACTGGATAGTAATTTTTGCAAGAAATTAGTCTGAATGATTTAAAGAAGTAATATATTGCAACATACCACTCCTTTATTATTATTATTATTATTATTATTATACAGTATTTATAAAGCGCCAATAGTTCGCTCAGCGCTGTACATTACAAAGGGGACAGAACATGTGACAGAACAATACCAATACAATGCAAAACATGAGGGGATCGAGGGCCCTGCTCTTTCAAGCTTACAATCTAGGAGGGAGGGGATGGTGGCACAGGAGGAGATAGCTGTGGGGGATGGAGTGGTAGGAAGAGTGGAGGAGGTCGGCAAGTTAGCAGGGGGCGGGGTAGGCTTCCCTGAAGAGATGGGTTTTCAGGGTGCGCCTTAAAGGAGAGGAGAGTAGGTGATAATCTGATGGGTTGGGGCAGGGAGTTCCAGAGGATGGGTGACACCCTGGAGAAGTCCTGGGAGGGGGCATGGGAGGAGGAGACCAGGGAACTAGAGAGAAGGAGGTCTTGTGAGGAGCGGAGTGTGCGTGCTGGGCGGTACTTGGATATTAGGTCAGTGATGTAGTTCGGGGCAGTATGGTGGACAGCTTTGTAGGGGTCAGCGTTAGGATTTTGAATTTGATCCGTTGCGCAATCGGAAGCCAGTGGAGGGATTGGCAGAGGGGGGGTGGGGGAAACGGAGCGGTTGGAAAGGTGAATGAGTCTGGCAGCCGTATTCAGGATGGACTGAAGCGGGGATAGCCAGCGGCGAGGCAGGCCAGTGAGGGGGAGTTGCAGTAGTCGAGTCGCGATATGATGAGGGAGTGGATGAGCTGTTTAGTGGTTTCTGGAGTTAGGAACGTGCGGATTTTGGCGATGTTGGGGGGGTGGAGTCTGCACGAGTTGGGTTAAAGAGTGGACTTGGGGCTAGAAGGATAGGTTGGAGTCCAAAATAACACCAAGTACTCTGGGGGTGGTGCGTGGCGGGGCGGGTGGGGGGGGGTTGTTGGGGGGGGGGGGGGGGGGGGGGGGGGGGGGGGGGGGGGGGGTGGGGGTTGGGGGGGGGGGGGGGGGTGGGGTGGGGGGGGGGGGGCATGTTTCAGGGGGAGGGGAAAGGGGGGGGTGTGAGGGGGGGGTGGGGGGGGGGGGGGATGGGGGGGGGGGGGGGGGGGGTTGTGGGGGGGGGGGGGGGGGGGGGGGGGGGGGGGGGGGGGTCAGGGGTGGGACTTCTTCGTGGTAGTAAGGTGGGGGGGGGGGGGGGGGGGGGTAGTTGGGAATGTGGGGGGGGGTGGGGGGGGGGGGGGGGGGGGGGGGGGGGGGGGGGTAGAGGGGGGGGGTGGGGGGGGGAAGGGGGGGGGGGGGGTTTGAGGGGCGACGGGGGGGGGGGGTCGAGGGGGAGGGGGGGGATGGGGGGGGGTAGCTGTGGAGAGGGGGGGGGACGGGGGGTGGGGTTGGGGTAGGGGGGGGGGGGGGGGGGGGGGGGGGGGGTTCAATCTTGTTTTTGAAGTGGGGGCAATGAGGGGGGGTGGGGGTGGGGTGGGGGAGGGGGGGGGGGGAGTAGGGGGAGTGGGGGGAAGGCGGAGAAGAGGGGGCGAGGATTGGGGGGAGGGGGGCCTTGGGGGGGTCAGGAAGTAGGCTTGTTTGGGGGGGGGGGGAGGAGGGGTGGGGGTGGGGAAGGGGGATTTGTATCGGGTGAAGGCTTGTTGGGATTTGGTTTTGCGATAGGGGGGGGGGGGACTGTGTCGTTTGAGGGGGGGGGGTGTGATCAGTCTGCCAGGGCTGGAGCGGGGGGTCTGTGGGGGGTTGCGTGTGGTTGGGCGCTAGGTGAGTCAAGGGCTGTTGACAGCGCATTGTTGTAGGCGGTCATAGCCAAGTCGGGGCAGGGGGGGAGGATGCGGTCATGGGTTGGGTAGGGGGGATTGGGGGGAGGGGGGGGGTTAAGGTTGCGGAGGTTACGGGGTAGGGTGTGACATTGGGAAGGGGGCATTGGGAGGGATGGGGAGATAGAGAAAGGGGGGGTTGGGGGGAGGGGGAGAGGGAAGGGGGGTTAGGGGGGGGGGGGGGGGGCAGGGTTGGGGAAGACAAGATCAAGGATATTACCGTCGGAGGGGGTGGTGGATTGTATGCACTGTGCAAGTGGGGGGGGGAGGGGGGGTGGAGGAGACGGGCTGTGTCCGGGTTGTCGAGGTTGACAGGGATGTTGGGGGATAGTGGGTGGGGGGGGGGGGGAGGAGAGGAAGAAGGGTAGCCAGGAGGAGAAGTCTTCCAGGAAGGGGGTATGGATCCAGGAGGGGTATATCACAGCAATCTTCAGGGGGGGGGGGGGAGAATAGGGGACACAGTGGGCCTTGGGAAGGAGGAGAAGGATAGGGGGGGGGGGGTTGGGGGGGGACTCGGAAGGTGCTCAGCCGTGACAGGAGGGGCCAACCCCACCACCTTTACGACCGTTGGGGGCTGGGTGGTGGGGGGGGGGGGGGGGGGTAGGAGAGTGGGGTGGGGGGGGGGGGAGGTAGAGTCAGTGGGGGGGATCCAGGTTTCCGTAATCGCCAGGTTGGGGGGGGCGGGAAACAAAGAGGTCGTGGATGGGGGTAAGCTTGTTGCACACCGATCGGGCGTTCAGGAGTGCACATGGGGGGGGGGGGATTTTAGGGAGCAGGGGGACAGATACTAAGTTGCGGGGGTTGCGGCAGGACGTGGAGGGGGAGGGTTTTGTGCGGGGGGTGGTGGAGGGCCAGGATTCGGGGAGATGTCCCCCGCGGTTATGAGGAGGAGAAGGGTGAGAAAGGTGGCATGGGAGTGGGATGTGCAGGAGCGTGAGAAACTACTAGTGGAGGGGTTGGGGTCAGGGGGGAGAGCGGGGAGTAATAGGAGGAGGGGTGGGTGCCATAGAGGGGGGTGAGGGAAGCAGTGAGGGCACAATATACAAATGTTTGGGAGGAGAGAGAGGGTATAGTGAATGGATTGGGGGGGGGGAACAGAGGAGAGGAAGGGAGAAGGAGGAGTGGAAGAGGCATTTTGGGGAGGTGATGAAAGCAATAGTAGGGAGATGATAGCAATGAGGGGGAGATGTACAAGTTTTGGGGTGGAGCAGAGGGGTAAAGAAATGAGATTTGTGAACAGAGGATAGTAAAATGAAGAGCAGAAGAGGGGTGTATTATATATAAAAAGGTACACGGAGTGGGACTCAGGTATGCAAGAGATGTTTCCCAGGGTGTTTCCTTGCAGTCTGTCCAGCATGCAGTAGAGTTTCTTGCTGTTGCTCCTTTAGGCTTTTTGATGGGGCGGACCAGTCAGCAGATCTGCCTGCTTGGTGAGGATCTCTCTGAGCCCTTGCTGAGCAGGTGGATGACAGGTATGTGGCCGCTCTGCTGCTGCAGAGTAGACACACGGCCTGCTGACTTTTATGGAGCGGTCAGATGGAAACGGACCATTTTTCTGTTGTGTGGTGTTTTTTTTTTTTTTTTTGTTTGTTTGTTTTTTTTTTTTCCACCCGACTGTCATCTGATCCAATCCGCTGAACGGATGGGGAAGGGATCCCCATCCATCTGTTTTTGCCGTATCGGATCAGATGCCGGCGGGTGTCAGCGGACATCCGCCTACACCCACCAGTCCATAGAGATCTATGGATGGTTTGATCAGGTCTGCCTCAAAAACTGACAGACAAACCCAATCGGACCGTCAGTGTGAAAGGGGCCGTAGATATTATGACTGTGTTATGTTATGCTTAGTGTATTTTCTGCAAATGCCTAATGTCCTGTTGATCCCTACCAGATATTACATTGTAAATTGCTGTATATTCAACTGAAGTATCAAACACTGCTAAGAAGTATTCTTCCAAGCTATCATCTGAAATACAAAACTATTGCCCTATATGTATTGGAGATGAGCACAGTGATGAGATGTTGTAATTTAGCCTGAGTTGAAACTGAGATCTTGCATACAGGATCAGCAGGTGAATAAAGGGCTGGGAAGCCTGCAAAAAACAAATGCAGCAACCACCCCAAGAGCTAGAAAGCTGCAATGTATTGCATTTTTGTTTTTGGGTTTAGATGAGCTTTTAACCGCCTCCCGCCTGCCATATAGTACAATGACGGGTGCAAGGCGATTCTCTCGTTCTGGGAGGATGTCTTATGACGTCCTCCCATTCTAACCGCACATGCGTGGCTCTGGGAGCACGGACACAGCGGATCACCGATCGACGGAAAGAGCCGAAGATGTCGGCTCGGTCATGTGATCAGCTGTGTCCAATCACAGCTGATCACATGTAAACAGGGAAATGCTGGTTATTGGCATTTCTCTCCTCACGAGCTGTCACGCTGACAGAGGAGAGGGCAGGATAGGAGAGCCGGTAATCGGCATTCCTCAGAGGACATCTACACTGATCATCATGCGCCAGCAAAATGGCATAAAACTACATTTCTCAAAATTATCAGTAGGTGAGACATTAACTGCCTCCTACAGCTCATCACTTTTGTAGTTAACCATAAATGAGGTACCTAGAATTATGTATCTCTCCCTCTCTCACATTTGTGTTCATATCTGTGAGGATGGGGGTGCTTTTTGTTTAGTTTTTTTTTTTTTTTTTAAATTATTATTGTTAATATCACACACTGGCAGGGAAAGCGGCACCCATGAGTACTATATAAATTATAGGTCACTTCTTTTTTACATAAATGCCAGGAGCTGTCTGAAGAAAAACCTCTTTATACTTTGACCAATGTTAACTTCATCAGCTGTTTGGACATGTCTGCTATGTTAAGACTGAATGTTTTTGTTTGCCCATATACATTTGGTTGCATAATCTTAATATTAATGCATTTTTAAACTCTTTTTACAGGTAAAGTCCTTCCTGGTGTTGCTGCACTGAGCAGTGTCTAATTCCTTTCACTGGACAAAGCAATGATCATGTGAGGGATTGGTTTTGGTCACTATCCTGGGGAATGAAGCCAGAACCTGATAAAACTACAAGCACTTTACTCCGGCTTAAACTCACATTTCTCTAAAGGATTAACAATGTGGTAAGGTTAACTACTCTGCAGCTCCTGCACTGTATTGATGAGTAGTAACAACGGTTCACAAGCACGCTTTTTTCCCCCATTGCCCAGTTGGTAGCTTGTCTGGACAGAGTATGTTGTAGGCTTTATTTTGTTTTGCTCCTAGATGTGTATATATTGCCCTGTAGATATGTCTGAATCTGCGTTAGGTCCTCACCAAATGTTAAATGTTTACAGGAAAACTACACGGGCACCCCAGAAATATCTGCTATAATAAATAAAAGAAAAACACAAAGCTGGTGTCTGTTTTTCATTGTAATTGATTATTGTATGGCTGTGATCACTTAATTTAAAGCAGACCCATCAGTTGGAAGAGTCAGTGCTTTCCCCAGATTATCATGAAAATGTATTGTGGCTCAAAGTCTGCAATGGCAGCAAAGTCAGTCTGGGGAGAACGTAGTGTTCGATGCATTAGAAGCACTTTTAAAGTTGCATAGGTTTTTAGGAGCTGGCACCTGCTGGCATCCTAGCAACCAGTGACTCATCTCTGCTGTCAGCAGAATTCCCGCTAACAAAGTTAAACAAAAGCTCCAGAGGCGGGCGATGGAGCCAGTCCTACCACTGCTGACATTATGGAAGCATTCTGCATCTCTAAGGAGACCCTTACGACCAAAATAGACTACCTGGCAACTGATATCAGACAACTGTAGGTGAAGGCACTTCAGGGGAGGGCGACTGACACCGGAGAATCGCCTCAGATGAAATTACATCCATATCCCAGGCCCGCAGAATTTGCAGAGGCCTTCTTCACCACCCTAGTAGACCTTCCTGCAACGCCACCCACCGGGTCCCCCCGATGCCTCCAATCCCAGGTGAAATGCCAAGACCCTTCTTGCTTCAGCTTCTCAACTACCGGGACCAAGATAAGATCCTGCATGCAGCTAGGGCAAAACCAGATCTGCGCAATGAAAATGCCAAGATTCTTCTCTTCCCCAACTACTCTCTGGAGATTCAGCAGTGCCAAAGGGCTTTTACGGGGGTCCAAAAATGCCTTCATAATGAAGGTCTCCTGTACCCCAGGAAGCTCCATGTGGTGGGTGCTGACAGCACCCTTTTCTTTGACTCTCCTGAGGTGGCAATGTTCTGGCTGGGCACCTGCTGGAGCCGATTACACTACCCTTTTAATCCTCAGGTTCCATTTTAAAGCAAGTAATTGGGTGCCATGACCCCCACTGTTTGCACTTCTACCTTATTTACTCATGTGCTTGCGGAATGGGCTGTTCCACTGCACTTTTCTTTCTGGGCCTTGTTGCACACCTCACTCAGAGCATTTCCAGGCCGGTTACTGCTCATGAATATCCTGCCCATTATGGAACCCCACAATTGGAGCCCTGATGCCTTATTTTCCACTCTTTGATTGCATCATCTGATCCTGCTAACTTTTTTCCATTTTGACTTTTTTTAGAGTTAAGGTAGACCCTTGAACTTTTGTGCAGTGCACATTGTTACCAGCAGCAGACCAAGATCTGCTCCTGGTTAAGTTTCCTGTTGTCGGTACAGGCCGTTTCCCCCTTTCGTTTTTCAGGGGGATGTTGGGTACTAGCAGGGTAAGCACTAGGTGCTTGGGTAGTTTGTATGTTTTGTCGTTTGTTTTTTTCTGTGCTGGTTCGTGCTCACTTGCTACTCATCCAATGCTGCCATCCCCTGGGCGCAGGTGCATCCCTACTACCACTCACCATGGCGCCTGGGCAGAGTGAATACACTGCTCTCTCCTGAAATGTCCAGGGGCTCAATTTAAAATTTAAAAGGGCTCTGCTCTTCCAATATGTTAAATCCTATGCCCCGCATACTGTATCTTATTGCTTCAGGAGATGCATTTGGTGGGCAGCAAGCTGATGGCCCTAAAGAAACTTTGGGTTCAGAGGGCCTTCCACGCCTCATACTCCACATATGCTAGAGATGTTTTGATTCTGAAAAGTAAGTCACTCTCCTCTGTCATTGAGGCAGCCCATATGGACCCTCAGGATAAATATGTGTTATTAGTGATCGCAATACGCAATAAACGCTATGTATTTGCCAGTATTTATGTTCCTCCACCATTTTAAGTACCTTGTTCTATGGTATTCAGGAGAGGATCACCCCTTACTGCCCTGCAAAATGTCTGCTTGTGGGTGATTTTTATATAGAAAAACAATGTGCGCTATCATAAAAATGTAAAAACCCCTAAATTGAGCTGCTGCAATAACGCGTATAAGTGATCCCACACTCAAATCATATAAATATAACAACAGTGTTGCAACAACTCCTACATACAATAACATATGAAATTGATAACAAAAAAAGTCCTTATAATGAATGTGTTTCCAATCAGACAATGGTGTTTGAAAAGGTGCTTATTATATGCAATGTGCTCCAAAATACTGTAACTAAACAACAGTGCTCCACCATGACTTAGTGCACCTCCACCTAATGGTATGGATGGCCGCTCACCTCATACAGTGGACCTATAAATTAATATGTCAACCAAGCATAGTAGTAACATCAAAGAGGCTCTAGATGGCAGCAAAGAGCTGATAACAGGCACCACTTCAGATGACACTGTACGGAAATCTTTGCAGCTTTATACTAATAGCCTCTGCTTCTGGTCTGGATGAAATACAGCAGATCCTGCATGGAAGGTCATGTGGTTCAATCTGTTACTACATTCTGCAAACTCCCCTTTGTAAGAGCTCACAGTCCTCCAATCAGAGTTTCTGACCCAGCTAGCAGGACAGGAATTACCTGTTACAGTGTCAAGTCAGTACTGTATCTCTCCCTGGTGTCTCCAGACAGAGTGCTGTACTTTCTGGTGTCTCCCCTCAGCTCTAGCAGATCCCCTTCTGTCTGTTCCCCAGACTACAGAGCTGTGCCTGTGTGTCCCAGGTGATCCTAAACTGCCCAAAACCCGGAGTTTACCTTCACATTCATTATAAGGACTTTTTTTTGGTTATCAGTTTCATATGTTATTGTATTTATGAGTTAGTGCAACACTGTTGTTATATTTATTTAGGAGTGATTTTAATGCCATTCTTTCGCCCACCTTGGACAGGCTTACTTCACCTAAGTCTTATGTCAGGGACTTGTCTAACTGGGCCCTTGCCTCTGGCCTTACAGATGCTTAGAGGTGGAAACATTCATCCACCAGAGCGCACTCCTGCACCTGGCGATTATATTTAAAGTTGGTACTAGTCGTAATTGCTCCCTATGCGCCTTGGCGCTCACTGGATTTCGCACCCCAAAATCTCTGAACGTACTCCCCCATCATTAAAGGAATATTGGGACGTCAATGCAGGGTCTTCCTCCCTAAAAATGGGGATGCCTTTAAGGCTTTTTCTCAGGGACATTATATTTCTGCCATAAAAGTGGTTTAGGAGAAGCAGACAGACATCACGACCTCCCTCCGTATTCAAGTTGTTGATGAATCCACTCAATATGGGGTTTACTCCTCTGACTCTAATTTTTGACTTACACCTACAAGGTGACAAAAATGGTAGATTTCTGGCTATGCTATCCCAGAAAGATGCCCCCCTTACCGTGGTCTCTGAGCTTACCATCCCCACAAGCGAGACCATCACCAATGCAGAGGGCATTCTCAAGGAATTTCATGATTATTATCAAAACCTATACATGTCCACTCTAGCTTCTGGGCTTATCTCAGCAGATCTCCCATCTCTTCTGGATCCCATTGCTCTTGGTTGGCTTTTCAGATGAGGAGAGGTCCCATCTGGTACACTGCATTACCTCGGAGGAGGTTATATCCGTGATCTAGTCCTCTTTTGGTAAGGCCCCTGGCCCCGATGGCCTACCCATAGAATTTTACAAGTAACATGGCAAAATGCTTACCCCCGTTCTGGCCTCTTTATACATGCACTGTCTCCACACAGGCACCCTCCCTCAATCCATGTCGGTCTACAAATCGTTAGCGCTCCTTAATGACTTAAAAATACTGACAAAACTTTTGACCAACAGGCTTAATCCCCTCCTACCTCTGGTGATTCTGATTTTCATCAAATGGCTACAGACAATATTCCGCTCCCCAACTGCTGTCATTCGTTTGGGAGGTCTCCCTCTCTCCTACATTTTCTCTGTCCAGGGGTGCTAGCTATGGCTGCCCCTTCTCCTTGGCACTTTTTGCTATTGCCATGGAGCCACTGGCCGAGGCTCTCCGAGTGTCCCCATTTATTAAAGGCCTGAGGCTGGCATGGCTGGAGGAGAGGGTAGTCCTATATGCTGACGACCTTTTGCTTTTTCTAAATTATGCTGGTCCCTCTCTGCAGGGTGCCCTGCATGTGTTAAACTCTTGCTCAGTTGTGACGGTGATCAGAGTAAACTGGTCTAAATCCCAAGTCTTCGCCATTGATCCCGGGGCCAGACAGAGCGCACTCTCAGATCTACAACTGCGGTGGGTGGAGGAGTTTAAATATCTGGGGGTGGTGGTTTCCAGGGAGGCAAATGATTAAATACCCTTGAACTTGGCTCCAGTGGTCCACTCTGTTAAGGCTAAACTGAAAACATGGGATAATCTTCACTTTTCTCTCCTAGGTCGCATTAACCTCATTAAAATGAAATCCTTCCCAAATGTAATTACTTATTTCGTAATTCCACTCAGTGGATTCCCAAGTCTTTTTTCATCCACCTAAACAGATTATTTTCCTCCTTCCTTTAGAGTCCTCAACCCCCCAGGTACATATTATCAACTCTAATGTGCCCCACTTCCCATGGAGGTCTGGCTCTTCAAGATTGTCAGAAATATTTTCTTGCCTCCCAACTGATCTCTGCCTCATAATGGTTGACACAGGATATGTCTAACTCTGCTACAAGATTGGAAGCTGCAGTAGTACACTC